TCATATCCTAAAATTTTAATTTATAAACTAAAAGTTCAATTCATATCCAAAAAGTTCAATTCATAAATTAAAAGTTCAAATCATATCCTAAAATTACAATTTATAAACTATAAGTCCAATTCATAAACTAAAATTCCAACACATAAACTAAAAGTCCAATTCATATCCTAAAATTTCAATTTATATCCTAAAATTTCAATTTGTAGATGAAAAGTCCAATTCATATCCAAAAAGTTTAATTCAAAAATTAAAAGTTCAAATCATATCCTAAAATTACAATTTATAAACTACAAGTCCAATTCATAACCTAAAAGTCCAATTCATATCCAAAAAGTTCAATTCATAAATTAAAAATTCAAATCATATCCTAAAATTACAATTTATAAACTACAAGTCCAATTCATAACCTAAAAGTCCAATTCATATCCAAAAAGTTCAATTCATAAATTAAAAATTCAAATCATATCCTAAAATTACAATTTATAAACTACAAGTCCAATTCATAACCTAAAAGTCCAATTCATATCCTAAAGGTTCAATTCATATCCTAAACCCTAGATTTTGACTAAACTATCAAGACAATGCAAAATATAATTCAAATCTGACTAAACTAAATTCAACACTAATTAAACTAATTAGTTAATAAAATTAATTAACAAAACTAATTAAAACAAGACCTAAACCCTAATCCTCAATAAAATACAATGTTCAAAGAATTGAAACACTAATTGGAATAATAAACTACAATACATCAAATATTGTAACACACACACTAGAAATAACAAAGATTGAAGGTTATAATTCTAACCTTGATTTTTTTTAGGTGGAGAAGGAGAGAGAGGGGGGCAACAGTGGTGGTGGCCGGCGAGGCGGCGGCGAGCAAAGGGGGCAGTGGTGGCGCGGGGTGGGGGATGGGATTAGGGTGAGTGAAATAGAGAAGGGGAGGGAAAGAAAGAGTTGGGGAAATTTTGGGGAAGGAAATAAGAGAAATGAGGGGGAAACCCGTTTTTGTTTGTAGAATTAGAAAAAGCGACCAACTTTGGTCGCTATTTTTGGTCTGTAAATAAGTTTTGACCGTTTGACCAAAAATAGCGACCAGCGTTGGTCGCTATTTAAGAAAAATTAAATTGAAAATAGCAAAAAGTTGGTCNATTACAAAAGTGTTAACGGATTACATTTATATTATTTAGATAGTAAATATAAAAGTAATTTTTAATTTTGACCAATTTTGACTTGAAAAGAGATCAACTTTGGTCGCTAATTATCCAGAAATTAAAATTAGCGACCAAAGTTGGTCGCTAAATTTAAATCAGATTTATTTATATTTTATATAATATTTAAAATAATAATATAATTGTTAAACGTTAGAACTGGGTCCCAGATTAGAGACCAACGTTGGTCTCTATCTACTAGCCCTTTCGTAAGCGACCAACTTTGGTCGTTAATTTTAAATTATATTTATTTATAGTTTATAATTTTTTAAAATAATAATATAATTATTAAAGTTTTATAACTGGGTCCCAGATTAGCGACCAAAGTTGGTCTCTATCTGCTTCCCCTTTCGTAAGCGACCAACTTTGGTCGCTAATTTTAAATTATATTTATTTATATTTTATAATTTATTTAAATAATAATATAATTATTAAAATTTTATAACTGGGTCCCACTTTAGTGACCAAAGTTGGTCTCTAATTTCAATATTTCTTTGACTAAGCAAGTCTGACCAGTCCGGTTAACATTTTGACCACATTTTTTATTGGTAATTAAATTTTTTTATTAATTACCAAAATGATTACATATAAGTTCCATAGTAGACTACATCGCAGTCTACTATCTGTTAATACTCACAAACAACTAAAACATATACTACCAGAATTAACTAACTCTAAGCTGTTGAATCTAATATTTGATTCTGGCTGGTGCTCGAACACTAAACACATAAGCAATTTCCCTCACCAGTTGACTTGAATTCTTTGATTTGCCTTCAAATCTGCATTGATTCCTTTCTATCCATATTGCATACACCCATTCTGTGTATGCCATCTTGAACACTTGAGCTCTTTTTGTTCTGCCTTTTGCTCTTTCAATGATCCAGTTCTCCATCTGCTCTCATTGTGCTCTTTTGAAATGCTTAACCTTCATCCATTTTAGTACCCCTTCCCAGATTTTCATAGAATAAGGACATTCCATGAATAAATGGTTCCTTGTTTCATTATGCCTATTGCACAGTTTACATACACGATCCACATTTATGCCCCAAGCAGCAATTTTGTCCACTGTTAGTAATTTTCCTTGCATTTGCAACCACATTGTGAACTGGGCTTTTGGTTGAACATCATTCCCAAACCTTAGTGTCTTCCATAGTATCCTCTCATTGTTGCCAATTAGTTGAAGGTAAATCTGCTTGATTAAGCTGTTTTTGTTGCTGTGTTGAACCAGTGTCACAAATCTTCCTGCTTCAAAGATTCTCCTCACCATCCATCATGTATGCATAAGTATGACCATTTGACAAACTGTTGGTTGTTAATATAATAAGAGTGTACCCATCTGATCCACAGCATGTCCACCTTATGTTTAATGTCCCAGTTAGCTTTAATTATTGCTGCCTTATTCCATAGTCTCATATTTATCAATCCTAATCCACCCATTGATTTTGGAGTGCACACTTTCTCCTATGCTAACAGAGCTTTTCTCGTAATTGTGTTGGTACCAGACCATATATAGCTTCGACAGTAAGCCTCAATTGCATTTAATACTTTTGAGGGAATAACAAATATTTGTGACCAATATGCCTGAATACCAAACAATACTATTTGAATTAGCTGGGCCCTTCCTAGTATGAGAGCTTCTTGGCAGTCCAAGTAGTAATTCTAGAAACCATCTTGTTGATCAAAGGGTGCCACTGTATTAGGGATATCTTCTTTGTAGCGAAAGGTATCCCTAAATATCTGAATGGTAGGCCACCTTTAGTGAATTCTAGCAATTGCAGTATTTGATTCTGAACCTCTTTAGTAACCCATCCAAAATAACTAGAGCTTTTATCTTTATTGGCTTGAAGACCTGAGGCATCAGAGAACTCCATGAAACATCTTCTAATTGTATCCACAGATTCAATATCACCTCTTGAAAATAGCAAAAGATCATCTGCGAAGGACAAATGAGTTATTGATAGCTTAGAGCACTTTGGGTGATATTTGAATCCTTTACTTCCTTTCACTTCATTAAGCATCCAACTCAGATATTTCATGGCTATTGCAAATAGGAAAGGAGAAATTGGATCTCCTTGCCTAAGTCCTTTAGCTGCATTAAAAGGAACTGTTGGCTCACCATTGACCAAGGTAGAATAATTCACAGTTGTCACACATTCTAGTACCCATGAAATGAACTATCTAGGAAATCCCATCTCATCTAATATCTGCTCCAGGTATACCCATTCCACGGAATCATATGCCTTTTGAAGATCTATTATAATCATGCATCTAGGAGACATATTTTTCCTTGTATATGACTTCACCAGTTCTTGTGCAAGGAAGATATTATCTGAGATCTTCCTTCCAGGAATGAATCCAGTTTGAGCTTCACATATCACTGTTGCAATTACTTTCTAAATTCTTGCTGCTAGGACTTTGGAAATGATTTTATATAACATTGAACAACAAGCAATGGGTCTATACTCCTTCACACTTGTAGGATGCTCATTCTTAGTCGCTAATGTATTTAGAATAATTATTTAATAATTTTCTCCAATTTAGCGACCAACTTTGGTCGCTTTTCATGACAGACCAATTTTGGTCGCAAATTGTTGTTCGCTTTTTTTCCAGATTTCTAGTAGTGACGGTAGATCTAGAGTGAACTACAATACTTATTTGGAGTAGAACAAAAAAGTGATAGTGGTTCGTTCAAAGTATATGTTGCTCCTTGACATACTTCGTTTTATACTTGAGCTTCTTGGCTTGGCGAATCTTTGGCGGACCGTTGAAGAATATGCAGTACCAAGGGAATTGATCCTCAAAATTGAATCTGTTGTGATTCATTCCAAGAATAAGTATAGAGCTTCCATAGATGATCCATGACTACCGGTCGTTTCCTTTTTCGAGAAGAGATTTGTTATAAGTTCTCCTTAAGTTGTTTCTTGATTCATGGGATTGATAGCCTTCCTTTTTTGACGCATATCTTTAGCAATCAGGGCGACGTGAAATCTTGGTCCTTCCTTTATTATATCAATCATCCTGGCTGTCATATCGCGTCAATCATCAATCTTGCTTACTTGCTTCCGTTGACAGATCTTTGCCTTGATTCTTTTACTCATTCCTTTCTTGACTTCTTCCACACTTCAATGATAGATTTGCTTGAATTCTTCTTTTTATCTCTCGTGATCCTACACCATAGTATTATGTTATTTTCATCATTTGAAATTCACATCTAACAGATAACAATTGCCACCTTGTGAAATAGTTGGGCCGATAGTGAATTAGTTGTCTTCTGGGGTATGGGGGCAACATTTTTAGTGTACGGGAGGGCTTGATGGTACTTCAGGTTAGGGGCTATTGATACATACATCCAAGGCCTATGTGGGCAACAAAGTTAGCCAAAGAGATATTAGGATTTTATTGCGTATAGTCAAATGTATTGCCTAGTGATCAATAAAGTGAGATGAAAATTATGAGATCGATATTTAAATTCCAGTAAAGAGAAAATATGTTAAGTTATTTCTCTTTCCATTTGCCTAAATCTTGGCTCTAATGGCGTAGTAACTTAGTACTTGTGCCGAAGGAAAATAACATGTACCTGATAAAATTGTCTAGATGAACACAAACTTGATATGGACGCTATTATGGTTATAGAAGAAAATATTGAGATATTAAAATCATTGAGAATGACATGCACATGAATTGAAATTTATAATTGTAATATAGTTGATTGGTTTTCATCTATAGTATTTTATTTATAACCTATTACTACAGGAAGAATTAATAAAACAAAAACTTTTTGTTCCTCAGATTGAGGTGGTACCGTTGCCTTTGAAAATAGATTCTCGAGAAGAGGAAGACCCTCAAAGACAAACAATGGAACTAGAGACAGAGCTCTTTATTGGACTTCCTCAAAGACAAAGCTCCCATTAAATTTTCTCAACTGTGAAAATAATTGTATTATTTCAAGCTTTTTACCACTGTAAATAATTTCTACAGTTTTAGTAAAAAAATAAATTACAGTAAATATGGTTATCTTTTTCTTCTTTTCTTTCTTATCAGTTGTGCATTAATAATCATCAAAATGATACAAATGATAGTTCTGTCTAGAGAAATGTATATAGACATTTAATTTTATTTTCCTTTAATTAAGTGATGAGTTATATAACTTATTGCTACAAGTTGGTTATAAGTTGGTCTTTGCTATGAACTTTCCAGTTAATAATAAATTGGAGAAGTCAAAACTAATGAGGTCCTTTTCTCTTCATTTTGCATTTCTCTCCAAAAAAGTCTTGTCTACTCTACCTAAATCATGGACCAGAAGCCTGAGATATTTGTGTTCTACTTTAGTTAGGCATTGAACATTAAAAAAAAAAAATTTAACTGGAAATATACGGGTCAAACCCCGCTTAAACTAAAAATGACCTACAAATATGTAATATATGTAAAATTCTTGTATAATATGCGTATAATTGTCTATAATAAAGGTATAGACGACCATTTGAGAATTTGAGGGATTGCTAAGAATAATAATATTCTTAATTTAACATTTCAAGATGAGTAATGAAATTTTAAGTCGTTGACTTTCAAATACTCCTTTTTTCAACGTGAATAAAATATTATCCAAGTGCCTACTTAAAACCTGAATTCGTTAATAAGGTGCATAAAATTGGAGGATGAGTATATTTGTGCATTTCTAACGTACGTTAAGGAGAAGGAAATTAGCCTTCAATCCCTTGGAATAACTGATACTACTAAAGTATTTATTAACAGAAACTAACGGGTGAAATTCAAAAATAGCCAGATTTACAAGTGGTAATTGAAAAAAAATCACAGTTTCAAAAGTAATAAAAATTTAGCAACTTTTCATGTAAAGATAAATCTGAATTAAAACGCTATTCAAAATCCGTAAAATACTCTAGTATATCGAATTTTTTACATGTGAACTGTCAGCATAATATACTGGAATTCCAGCATAATTGTAATGACCCGACTGGGTGCTTTGAGCAATAAATGTAATTTTACCCGATTCCGAGATGTGGGCCCTAGGGGCATTTTGGTCATTTTACATAATTTCGCGTATTAGCTTGGAATTTAATTGTACAATCAGTTACTTGAAGTGTTATTTATATTATGCAATTGAATTGAATAGATTTGGGCCATTTGGAGTCGAGTACTCGTGGCAAAGACATGGTGTTGGGTTGATTTTGAGCCGGTTCGAGGTAAGTGGCTTGTCTAAACTTATGTGGGGGACCTTCCTCTTAGGATTGGTATATTTTGTAATTGAAATGCCTTGTACGTGAGGTGACGAGTGCGTACTTGTGCTAATTGTTGGAAATCCGGTTTTCTTAAGTAATTACTAGTACGTTTCCTTTCCTGTTTCTATTTCTTGCACTATTAAGCATGTTATTAGCTTAGGAAAGCATGTCTAAGTGACTTAATTGCTTTAATTGATTCAACCCTCCTTACTTGAATTCTGTGCAGCATGCTAGGCTAGAATCACTTATTGCCTTAATATGAAATTTTGCCCTTTCTGTATACCTCCTATTGCTGCTATGTATTTATTTTGGGACTTCGGATGTGGGATTCCGGTAGTTCCCCCTTGTCTGTTTACTTTGGGACTGCGGGTTAGATTCCCGATAGATCCCCCTGCACATTTACTTTGGGACTGCAGATTAGATTCCCGATAGATCCACCTGCACAGTTATATGGAACTACGGGAACGCACCCGGTAGATTTCCCCAGTACTGGGTATTTACATTTGGGACTACGGATCGGGATTCCAGTAGATCCCCGCGCATTGATAGTTGGCCTACCGGACAGGATCCCGGGAGATCCTTCAGACATATATATGATAGACTACGGGATGGTATCCCGGGAGATCCACTGGACAGTTGTAATTAGGACTACAGGACGGTATCCTAGAAGGTGCCCCGGTTGTTATCTCTGTGTTGAGCTGTATTTCTTTTCGTGGCTTGTTTTGACTCTGTTGTAGTTGTTGTTGTTCTGTCAATTCTATGTTATTTCTTACTGTTGCACTTATTTATACTGTTTTATTCCACACTGTTAAGCCTTATATTGTATTTAACCTCACTAGGGCACTAACCTTCCTCGTCACTACCCGACCGAGGTTAGGCTTGGCACTTTTTGAGTACCGCTGTGGTGTACTCATGCCCCTTCTACGCATGTGTTTCATGTGCAGATCCAGGTACTTCTACTCAAGCCTACCATCCTTGAGGGAGGCGACTACTTAGAGACTTCGAGGTACATCTGCCGCGTCCGCAGACCGAGGAGTCCCTTTCTATTCCTGCCTTTTAGTATTTAGCCCTTCTGTACTTTCTGTTCTTATTAGATAAATTCCGGAGTTAGAGCTATGTAGACTTTCTTTTCTTATCTTGTGATTCATGAGTTTTCGGGTCTTGCATTTATGTTTGGTGTTGAGAGTTAAATATGGTGTATGCCGAGCGGCACATTTAAACACTGTTATTGCTTTATTTCTGTTTTTTTTAAATTGTTTTACTTCCGCAAGTTTGGTTATTTTCCGCAAGTTTAGGCTTACCTAGTCGTAGAGACTAGGTGCCGTCACGATGGTTCACGGAGGGCAAACCGGGGTCGTGACATGTGCGTATGCGCGGAATTGAATTTCGAGGTCCCAAGCTCGAGAAATAAATTTTTGAAGAAAATTGTTTAACTGAAATTATAAGAGTATTTAAAAATTTGGATGTGTTTGAATTTGATGGTATCAGGCCCGTATTTTGGTTCCGGAGCCCAGTATAGGTCTTATATGGTATTTAAGTTGAGCCTGTAATTGGTAAGAAACGAACTTGATATAACGTGAATCGGACCATCGGTTGTTAAAAATGGAACTTAAGAGTTCATGAGATTTTTCTTTGATTTTGATGCTAAATTCATAGTTATTGATGTTATTTTGATGATTTGATTGCACGAGCAAGTCCGTATGGTATTTTTGGACTTGCATGCATGTTTGGTTTGGAGCCCCGAGGGCTCGGATGAGTTTTGGATAGGCCACAGAGTGTTTTGAACTTAGGAAAAACTGTTGAAAATGATATTTGAAAATTGGAGTTGTGTTTGGACATGAATATAAATTAGAATTGTTTTTGAATTTTTGTGAGCGATTTAGAGAAAAAATTATGAAAATAGCCTTTTTGGAGTTTTTCGAATTCCAAAAAATTCTGGAATTCTACTTCAAGTTGGATTTGGAATTTTTATGGCCAAACCTACTCCAAGAAAAGATGAAAAAAATATCCGGAAAAAGGTGAAATTTTTTATGGCCAAACGGCCCTTAGTTTTTGGACATTATATAACTAAAAGTTGGAAAATTAAAAATAGCATCCTAGGTTGAAGTTGAAAGAGATGTTCGGTGTATTTGAAAATGAATTGCACTTGAAAAAGACTTTGTTAAAGTTAAAGATTTGTAGGTTAAGACCAGTATTTCACTTAAGATGTACATTCAGAATAGTATTACTTTCAATATTTCATTTGAGGTTATTTGCATATGCTCAAGTTCATTTTAACATTTGCAGATACTGAAGTTCAGTATTTGTAAATACTAAAACAATATTATGTCTAAATGTACAAGTACAACTAAAGATAGCTCCACAATTTTTGACTTTGCTAAGATTGTCCTTACCCATCATCATCTATACCAAACTTGAGCACATCCTTAATTTATCACTATATATCCATCAACTTTTATCCCTACAACTCTTGTAAATAACCATTGCCACCTTGTGAAATAGTTGGGCTGATGGTGAATTAGTTGTATGGGAGAGAGAAGGGATTGATGGTACTTCAGGTGAGGGGCTATTGATACAGACATCCAAAGCTTATGTGGGCAACAAAGTTAGCCAAAGAAATATTAGGATTTTAATTGCAATATTCAAAGGTGTTGCCTACAACAACAACCTAGTAAAATCCCACAGGTGCGGGGTCTGAGGAGGATAGTTTGTACGCAGACCTTACCCTTATTGCGATGGAGTAGATAGGTTGTTTCCGATAGACCCTCGGCTCAAGATAACGAAAAAAAGAGACAATATATCAGTACCATCAACACAAACCATAGAAATAATAACAGCATCATAAGAACAAGAAAATAGATGAAACGTAATAATAATAACCAGTAAAAAAGGCCCGGTGCTATGAAAAATAGAAGAATAATATGAACACAACATTAACCGCTGGCAGTCTAAGGCAAATCCTATCAGACTAGCTTCACACCCGGAACGAAGTAGAAAAATGCTCAACTACCTCCTAACCTACAACCCTAATGCTCGACCTCCACACCTTCCTATCAAGGGCCATGTCCTCGAAAATCTGAAGCCACACCATGTCCTACCTGAGCACTTCTCCCCAATACTTTTTAGGCCGCCCTCAAAGTGTTACCTAGTGAACAATAAAATAGAATGAAAATTATGAGACCGGTGTTTAAATTCAGTAAAGAGAAAAAATATTTTTCTTTCCATTTGCCTAAATCTTGGCCTTTGACGGGCGTAGTAACTTAGTACTTGTGCAGAAGAAAAATAACATGTTCTTAATAAAATAATCGAGGGAACACAAGCATATGGACACTATTATGTTTATAGAAGAAAATATTAAGATATTAAATTTATTGAGAATAATGCACCTGAATTGAAACTTATAATTGTAATATAGTTGATTGGTTTTCATCTATAGTATTTTATTTATAACCTATTACTAGAGGAAGAATTAATAAAACAAAAAACTTTTTGTTCTTTCAAATTGAGGTGGTACCGTTGCCTTTGACAATAGTTTCTCGAGAAGAGGAAAACCCTCAAAGACAAACAATGGAAGTAGAGACAAATCTCTTTATTGGACTTTCTCAAAGACAAAGCTCCCATTAATTTTTCTCAAAACTGTGAAAAATAATTGTGTTTATCCTTAAAATCGGATAACAATTAAACTAATAAATGGTTTTAAGAATACATAATTTTACCTAGCACCAGTTGATAAATATGATGATTAACAGTGTGAATAAGCAATAAAATAAAGCAAACCAATATTGAAA